GTGCGCGCTGTGGTAGTCGTGTGCCGCGAGTTCGAGGACCGGGCGACCTACTCTGGAACGCCGAAGCTGGTTGTTTCCTGTCCTCCACTCCCGGGCAGGCAGTGAGGACGGCGGGTCAGGGCTGTGCTGTTTGCGCTCCTACCTAAGTCCTGAGTCCGCACTTGGCCATTGAGGCTCCGTCTTTTGTATCCTAAGCCACGCACGCGCCTCCTCCCTCCTCTCTCCTCCAGTCATCCTGTGCCCAGGACCCTGGAGCTTCGGTATTCCTAATTCCCGGGTCAGAGAAGGTTTCAGGTATCCCAGCTGCTCTCAAGCTCTAGGCCAGCTGAGTAGTTTAGCTGAGACCCTGCCTCAAAATATAAAAAGCAAATTAGAAAGGCTAGAGCGCTTTCCTATCGCACACTAGGCAATCGGGAGGCTTCACAGCTCGCTTCCGCTTACTTCGTAGGGAGAAGAAACCCTTGGTAGCTGACATAGTTTTATAAAACAGAGTTTTTAAATCGAAAAGAGTAGGAAGGTCAGTCTGCGAATAAGGATGGGTTTTTAATTTGAAGGTGTATCGCATCCTAAGTAATTCAGTGTGTCATACTGTAGTTTTCGCTACATGCTGGTGAAAACAGCGATGCACTATTGATTTTGGAGGCAGATTCAAGTTTTAATACCAGCGACCGTTTGCTAGGTATCTTAAGGCAAACCACTTTTATTAAACCTTTTCCCCATTTCTAAAATGGAGTATCAGAGGTACAGTAAATGCATAACTTGCTTCATAAAAAGTAGTTGTGATTGTTCACATTATACTGTTGTCTAGCGCAAAGTTGGTTTAGAGACCTAGGGACGAGTCACCCTACAGCAAGGCCAAGTGACAGGCACAATGGCAGGGGACTGGGGATTTAGCTCCGGTGCAGCTGACTGCCTTGCAAGTGCAAGATCCTGAGTTTGATCCCCCAATCCCCGTACCAATAAATAAATAAATAAACAATGGCAGGAATAAAAGGCTGGGTATACTCAACACCTGCGTACCCATGCCTTGCACACGGCTTTAAACCAGGGAATGTACGATTTAATCTAAACACTTTTTCATGCCACAGATGACCTGTGAATGACTGACTTGTTAACACACGTAAGAGGGGGCTCTAGTGAACCTCACACTGAAAGGCATGATGTACAGCCCTCCCACAAGTAAGACATATGCCTACTTACAAATAACACAGCACTAGTTTATTTAAAAAAAGAAACAAGTGAGGAGTGAATGTTTTCTTTCATCCTCCAAAAGCCTTTAATTTATCAAGTAGCTTTGGGGCACCTGTTAATGTGTCAGATATAGTTCTAGGAGCTGGGGTGCAGTAGTGAAGATAAATGCTCTGTGCCCTCAAGGGGCTTGTTTAGTAATGAGTAGGGAGTCAGAATAAGCAAGTAAATTATATAATGTAGGGTCGAGTAGTGTTATTATAAAAAATAAAGCCACTGGGTGTGGTAATGCAGCCATTAGTCTTAGCTTCTGGGAGTCTGAGGCAGGAGGATTGCTTGATCCTGGGAGTTCAAGGCTAGTCTGGGCAACATAGACAGACTATGTCTCAAGTAACAATGAAGCAAGGTAAATTAGTAGAAAACAGGGCTGCTCTTCCAGAAAGAGCTATGGGGGAAGACTGAGGAACTAGTTTACTAGGGAGGCTCAGTGTTACGGCTGTGTCTAGATGTCCCACCAAAGCCTCATGGGGTCATAGGTGGGGCTTTTCAGAGGTGGCTGAATCTAGAGTGTGTGATTGATAAGCTAGGCCACTGATTTGTTTGGCACCTGCCCTAAGCTAGGAGCCTAGATAGAATATTAAAGGGCAGAAAGAAGCTGCCAAGGCCCCCTTGCTTGCTTTGCTACCTTCTGCCCACCACGAACTATTCCTCCTCTGCAGCGCTTGCCTGCCAGGCCACCCTGCCTTGGACCCAGCCGATCATGGACTGAAACCTCTACAAACCGTGAGCTAAATAAACCTTTCCTCCTTTTACTTTGGGTGTCAGGTATTTCGTCTAAGCAACAAGAAAGGTAACTAAGACAATCCGTGAAAGTGTCTGTCAAGGCACAATAATAAGTGCAGAGTCCGGGCAGATGGAGATGCTTGGAGCAATCAGGGAACACCAAGAATAACAGGTGGGCTCCATGGCGGGGAACAAGGGCAAGGAATGAGTTTGAAGAGGAAGCTGGGCCTAGACTGTGCACAGCTGTACTCAACCTTTGTGGTCAGGTCAACTGGAGGCGTTTTAAACAATCGTGGTGCCCAGATTGCACTACATATCAAACACGAATCCCAGAATGTGAGACCCAGGCCTTGCTACTTTGATGATTTTGTGGGTGATTGTGGCAGGCAGGCAAGGTTAGGACAACACGAATCCCAGAATGTGAGACCCAGGCCTTGCTACTTTGATGATTTTGTGGGTGATTGTGGTAGGCAGGCAAGGTTAGGACATGTGTGTGTGTGTGTATATGTGTGTGAACTAGAACCCCCATTTCCCTACAAATGACAACTTCATTTTTCTTTATGGCCCAATAACACGCCACTGTGTGTGTGTCCCACATTTTCTTTAGCCATTCATTTCTTATTAGACATCTAGAGCTTAGCAACTGTGAATTGTGCTGCTATGAACATGAGTGTGTACGTATATATAGTGTATACTTGCGGTAGGAATGATGTTCACTTTGATCCCTTTACTGCCTTTATCTTATGTTCCTGACCCCCCACTTCCCCATCTCTAAAAGTCTGTCTTCTTGTTTCCTACCCTCCCTCCTTTTATCCACTTATTTTATTTACTTATTTTTATTTATCTATATTTTAGACATCTAGAGCTTAGCTATCGTGAATTGTGCTGCTATGAACATGAGTATATGTCCCTATAGTATATCTTCAATTTCAGAAATACGCCCAGGAGAGGCACAACTGGGTCAGGCGGAATTTCTAGTTTTAGTTTTTTAATCCATTCTGATTTCCACAATGGTTGTAGTAGTTTAGATTCCCACCACCAATATAGAAGGGTTTCTTTTCCCTACAGCCTCACCAGCATTTGTTGCTTTTTGTGTTTTTGATGATGGCAATTCTGACTAAGGTGAAATGGAATCTCAGAGTTGTTTTGATCTATATTTCTCTAAGTGTACAAGATGCTGAACATTTTTCATATCATTACCTGTTATTTGTACTTTTGATAAATGTCTGTTCAGTTCATTTTCCCATTTTCTGACTGAGTCATTTGTTTGGGGTAGTTAATTTTTTTGAGTTCTTTATATATTCTACATTCTAGTCCTCTGAAGAGTAGCTGGCAAAATTTTTTTTCCCGTTTATTAGGTTGTGTTCACTCTATTTCTTTTGATATGCAGAAGCTTTTTGATTTGACATAATCCCATTTGTTGTTGTGGGGTTTGTTTTTTTTTGGGTGGGGATTGAACTCAGGGTCTTGTACTTGCCAAGCAGGCATGGTGCCACTGAGCTGCACCCTGGCCCTTGTTGATTCTTTTTTTTGTTTTTTGAGACAGGGTCTCACTATGTAGTTGAGACTGACCTGGAACTCATTATGTAGCCCAGGCTGGTCTCGAACTCACAGAGATCTTCCTGCCTCTGCCTCCTGAGTGCTGGGGTTATAGGCATGTGCCACCACACCCGGCTTCCCTTGTTGATTCTTGATATTATTTCCTGTGATATTGGAGTTCTTTTCCGGAAGCTTTTGTCTATTTCTGTGGTTTCGAGTGTTTCTCTTGTGTTGTCTTCCAGCCATCTCAAACTTTTTTTTTTCTTTTTATTGAGTTGATTGGTACAATCTAGGTACACAATACAATTACATTCATCATTGGGATTCTGTACCTTTACATAATAGGTCTTGATTCTCATTTTTTCCTCTTGTCCCTGCCCTCCCTTCACCCCCTCCTCCCCTCCCCATTTACAAACACTTTATTTCCATTTTTTCAGTTTCTCATATTTTTTCCTCTCCCTTATTACCTTTCCTCCACCCTTCCCACTTTCCCTACACCTTTAGCCCTTTACTTCCTATTTCACATTATTAATTATCTCATTAGGATCCTGTATACTATTATAGTTTTTCACCCCAAAGAAACTATTCGGTATTTTAGTTAAAGAAATCTCTGTATGAACATTAAAAATAGGGAATCCTAAAATAAAACTAAAAAGGAAAGTAAAAGAGAAAAGGCAATGATGTAACATTAAAAT